TTGAAAAGTTGGGGAAAAAAAGAAAAAGAAAACATATCTGAATTGGAATCAGGGACCTCTGGATCATCCAACAAATGCCTTACCCAGAAAGAACCAGTGTTGCCTAATGAGCATGTTTCAATTCTAGCTGTAATGCAGGAGTCGAGTTATCACCTAGCAGTGCTGTGCCACTACACCTGCCACCACCCTGCCATGCCCACATCTTCCTCAGTCTCCCACATTCTCCACCTCTACAGGCCTGGCCACTGTCTCTGTACTACAGATCTGCGTCCTGCCTTCCCTCAGTCCTGGGCTGAAGGCACTAGCTTGAAAATCATGGTTTAGCACAGTTGTTTAGGATGGCATAGTGTTGTAAGTTCCAAAATAATGTTCCAGTCACTTAATCATATGATGTTAGGATTGAGGTTAGCAGGGGAGTGTGCCTCTCAAAATCAAAGGTCCTAGGCCCCTCCTCAGTCCTATTAAGCCAGAATTTCTAGGAGGTAATCTGTATTTTTAATAAGGCCCTCATTAGGTCTGACAGTCAGGCTGGGTAACCTCTGATTAAGTGTGTTCCTCCATAAAATAAACTTTAAAGAGGAGCACTTTATTAAGAACTTCTGAAACACACAGATCATTAACACACAGCACCACAACTTCTGCCAGAGGAAGAGTGGTGAAGAGGATGGCTTCACGGTAAGTAAAACGCAACAGACCCTCTACACAATTTGGCAATAAAGCAAACAGACAGCAGGGGGCGCCCGGATTTGAACCGGGGACCTCTTGATCTGCAGTCAAACGCTCTACCCCTGAGCTACACCCCCTGGCCTAGGAAAGGTTCCTCCCTAGCGTATTTCACCTGTGGAACCACACCCAAGGATTCCAGAGCATGCCTTGATTTCTATCTGTTCCAAATCAGCTTATGGAGACTGGCAGACCCACCACAAACAGACTAGAGACCACTCTTCTGGCCACAAGTTCACATTTCCACTTCCCAGAGACCTCTCACTGGTCTAACAGGCAGGCACCTTTCCACTCTGTAGCCACAACCTGAATTCCTTCAATAAACTCTAACTCTTCCTCTCCCCTCACTCAGTACCTGGCGGGCAGTGTAGGGGTGACAGGGGACAAGGTATGAGAATCATGCTGGATAGTCAGCTGTTTCCGCACAAATGCTTTATAACAAATCCTCCCCAAATTCAGACACATGCAACAATAAGCATTTATTTTCAAGGTCATAGGCCAGCAGCATGGATACCAATCAGCTGATCCAGGCTATCCTTGACCTGGTGGCCCTGCTGCATGCCGTAGGTCCCTCCGTGCTTAGTTTCTCGCTGTGAGCTGGGCTCAGGTCTGCTCCATGTCTGTTCATTCTGGCGTCCAGGATGGAGGAGTGGCAGCAAGCAGGGGAAACTTTCCTCATACTGATAGCAGAAATACAGACAGGCAAGCCCAACACACGAGCAGGTCTCCAGCCTCTGCTTGAGTCACGTGTGCTGACATCCCAGCAGTCAAAGCAAGTCTCAGGACTGAGCCCCAGACCAAGGGCAGTGAAATGCGTTCCACTTCAGAAAAACATCTTGGCAAAGGGCCTGGATGGAATCATTGAAGGACTGAGGCCAACACTTTACCATGGCCTAGCCTCTTGGTCATAAGTATTTACATCGCCCCCACGTGCAAAATACGTTTAGCTTCATCCCAAGGGCCCACAGCCTCATTCAATCAGACAAAGTCCAGGATCTCATGAACTGCATTAGATCCAGATGAGGCTTCTCTTGATGCAGAGACCCATGAACTCAAAAGACAAGTTATCTACCCCTCACACATCCAAAATCCAGTGACGGTACAGAGACAGACTTCCTGCAACATTTACATTCAGACGTGAGGCAAAATGGGAAGCACACAAGGCCACAGAAACTGGGTATGCAAAAGGAACCACCATGCCACCTTTTCCGTTGGGTGCAGCCAGGGCCTTGTTCTGGATACCAATTTCAGTGTCTGCCACCTTTTCACAAGAGTGTTGCATAACAAGTCACTCCAAACTCAGTGGCACACAACACTAAGCACTCCAGGAGCAGGCAGTGTGCCTTCACTGGGCCTTGGTTCTGCTGCCTGGCAGTGGCTCCCAGTCCATGGTTCCACACGACTCTTGGCTGCACCCTCTGAGAAGTCTTCCTCTGCCGTCATCCTCTTTTGCAATTGCTGAAGAGATCCTTGGAAAATATGGCCCTTGAGGTGGGTGAGCATTCTCCTCAGCTTGGGTCCCATCTGTGGAATGTTGGTGGTTCAGAGGTCTTCTCACTTGCCACACACTCTCAGTCTCTTTTAATCCAGGCTGTCAATGCTTTTGTCACAACAGCACTTTCAAGAAATTTGTGGGTTTCCCATGTATTTGACTCTGTGTATCAAAAGCCATGATCACAATTCTTTGTGACATATGCTGTCCCTCCAGCTCAATTATAAGTATTGGGCACATCACATTCTGTGACCACACATCCCTCATCATTCTAGGAAAACTTCTGTCCAGCTCAAAGAGTATCCTTGACACCCCGTGCCTTAACTTTGTCACCGCTCTTAATAAAAGGCATTGAAACCACACCTGTGATGTGATCTGTTCCCTGAGGCTCTGTCTTAGTGGAAGGATCTGGAGTGAGACTTTTCCCTAAAGTGATGTTACATGGCCTCACTTTGTCTTGGAAAGGATGGTTTCATTTTTCCAACTATGCAATTTCTGGGCTGTCTATATGGCCTCTAAATTCTGATTACAAACCAATAAGTTATCTTCTGAAATCAAACCTTTTTGTAGTATCTCATCAAAAACAGCCTGTAGCAAACAGCTCATGCATTCAAATTTTGCCCTGAAATATCTGGCCCCCAACTCTACCAGTTCCAGTGTATTTCTGCCTTCCAGATTATCATGAGCTCCCGTTTTTATTGCCTTCAGTAACAGTTTCCTCACCATTTTCCTGGCTGATTGTAACAGCTTCCTTACCACCCACTGCTTCACCATGAAGCCTGTATTTTAGGCTTCTGTTCCAGCAGGAGACCCTTCTAGATATCAATTTCAGTATCTGTCACTCTCATTCACAATGATGTTGCATAAAAAGTTTCGATGAAAATAATGCATAACCAATCTATAAATGAAAATTTGGGTGAGTTTATTCTGAGCTTAAATCTGAGGATTATAACCCGGGGCCTTTCTTCCCGAAGGAAGAAAGGGCACCAAAGAAGTGGGGTGCACAGAGTGGTTATATATCCCCAGAGAGGATGTTTCTCATAGGATTGAAATGTTCCTTTTACAATAGTCGCGAGACTGCTCTGTCGGCACAGCGATTGATGGAAACAGCAGGTAGGTCTTCTGTCTCAGTGAACACAGCAGGGTGGCAGTCTCTTGTCTCAAGCTGACTGGTCACAGGTGAGCTGGGTGGTCAAAGGTGAGTGCAGCAATCAGTTCCTAGCCTAAGGAAAGATGCTTATCCCTAAGGAAATGCCAATGTGGGGGGAAGTTGCACCTTTACCTTTATCTGTTCTGGCCATAGGAAATGTCTAAGCAGATATACAATGCGTGCTCAACAGCCACAGTTAGGCCCTTTTGGAAAAAACAAAGTCAGGTTTATACCAAATGGCTTCCTCATATACTCCAATATATCCTATTGCTTGCCATTTTTATTTGTCACAAGTCACCCTCAAAAACCAATGACACACAATGATCAGCATTTATTCCCATGCCCTTGGGTTTGCAGGCTGAATGAGAATCAGCTGATCTAGGCTGGGCTTGGCTGGATGGGTGGGCTTCAAGCTGCGAGTTTAGCTGCTTTGGCTCCGCTCAGTGAGATGGGCTCAGGGTTGGGACCCAAGTTTTCATTCCAGGGCCCAGACTGAGGGAGCAGCTTACAGGGTCAGCACTTCTCCTGGTAATGGTAGAGGCACCAGAGGGCAAACTTGGCCTTGCAATCCATCTGAAGCCCCTGCTTGCATATATCTGCTACACCCTGTTGGCCAAAGCCAGGCCCACGGTCTGCCAGTTATGAATTTATTGACCCTCAGCTCCAAATGTGCCCTTCCATACCCGCTCTGGGAGAAGGGCCTGGATTCCTTAGGCATTTCTCCTCAAGTGAGCGCAACGCTAACAGTTGTCGGTAGAGGGCATGGGAGAGACGCTGCAGGAGCCACGGGGCTGCTCTCCCCAGTTCCTGCTGCAGGTTTTGCTTCTGCTCCCCTGGCTCCTGCTGCATGTGGGTCAGTGGTGCAGCTGTGCAAGGACACATGGTGGTGCTCTGCCCCAGGCACGCACCCAGAGAATGTAGTCCCTTGGTGACCTCGCAGCGCCAGCTGGACCAGTGAATACCCCACTGCCCCCACTGCCTCAACTACCTCTATGCACCCTCCTGCCAGCCTGGAGTCATCCTGTCCAGAGGTCTGGTTCCCACGTTCTCCAGGTGTGGACACTGCACGGTCCTGGACTACATTTCGAAGTGGTTTACCATGTCCCCCAAGGTTGCTTCCTGCCTATGCACTAACTGTGAACAGGTCTGGTTGGGGCAACCTGGTGATTGGGCTGCAACCACATCTCCTGGACAAGGTCTGAATCTCAACTTTGGGCTGAAGCCCCCCTTCCAAATTTGTTCTTGCTTGGGTCTCTCAGCCCAGGGGTACCTTTAGTTTTCTTTGTGCCTTTATAGTTACTCTCCTCACATAGTACAATAATTCTCAGCATGAAACATCCCCTATTTCAATCACTGTGTGGTTTCTGTCTCCTGGTTGACCCAGACGGACAGGTACCATCAGGTCCAGAGCAAAGGGGTGCAGAGCACACTCGCCTCTGGGGGAGAAACAAAACGTCACAAAGTCAGGGAACAGGAATAGGGAGAGGTGAAGAATTGGGGCCAGGGGGTCAATTACCACATCTTAGTATGCAAGAAAGAAGACAGCTGAACAAACACCAACATCATGGGATAAGTGGTGAAGGCGACTGCAGACATTGCTGTAAAATAGAACGGGGTCTCAGGGAAGTCATTTACCTGTATGTGGCAATACAAAAAAACACAGCCAGGGTTGAACTGGGGACATCTGGACCTGTAGCCTAGTGCTCTACCCTTGAGCCATGCCCCCTGGCCTGCTGGGGGCCCCTCCTGACATTATTTCACCTGTGTTGCCATGCCCCAGATTCCATAGTGGACTCTAAGTTCTAGTCCTACTTGGGCCACCTCTGGAACGGGCAAAGCCACCACACACTGACTGGAGACCACTCACTGGCCATGAGTTCGCCTCGTCATTCCTCAGAGGCCCCTCACTTGTCTACCAGGCACTCTCCTGTGTAGCCATAGCCTGAACTGGGCTGTTAGAGCTGGAAGCCGGGCGCCCTGATCCTTGCTCCCCTCCTCCCTCAGCTCCACCTACACTGTCTCCTCCTCCCCAGCCTCCTCCCACCTGGCTTTCCTCCTGGCTTCACATCTCACACTGTTCTCCCAGGGGAGACAGCACCCGAGAGGCAGCAGCCCCGGAATCCTTGGGGCAGCACCACCGAGGGCGCTAACGAGGCATACAGGCTGCTTGGGGGCCCCCAGCCTGGGAGCAAGGGGCCCTGGTGTGTGGTCAGACATCTCTGTTTACCTCTGCCCCACGGCGCCAGAGCCCAGCTCTGCATGTGCCTGGTTCCCTGGCCGACTTTCATCTCACAGTAAGGACATAGGAGGCCTTCTTAAAAGGCCACAGACCCTAAGAAAGATTTGACCCGGGGAACTCTTGATCTGCAGTCCAATGCTCTACCCATGAGCTACACCCCCTCACCTGGGGAAAATTCCTTCCTAGCGTATTTCACCTGTGGAACCACACCCAGGGATTCCAGGAATCCTTTTAGGAATTTCTATTTGTTCCTAATCAGCCTGTGGAGAGTGGCAAGCAACCACAAATGGACTAGAGACCACTTTTCTGGCCACGAGTTCACCTTTCCACTCCCCAGAGACCTCTCACTGGTCCAACAGGCACCTTTCCACTCTGTAGCCACAACCTGAATTCCGTCAATAAACTCCACCTCTTCCTTTCCCCTCACTCAGTACCCGGTGGGCAGTGCAGGGGGCACTGGCGACGAGGTGTAAGAATCGTGGCTGCATAGACAGCTGTTTCCTCATCAATGCTTGGAAACAAATCATCCCCAAATTAAGATGGATACAGAATAAGCACTGATTCTCAGGGTCATAGGTCAGCAGCATGGATGCCAATCAGCTGATCTAGGGTGGCCTTGACCTGGTGGCCCCATTTCACTCCATGGGACCCTCTGTGCTCGGTTTCTCGCTGTGAGTTCAGCTCAGATCTGCACCATGTCTGTTCATTCTGGGGTCCGGGTTGGAGGGGAGAAACGAAAAGTCACAAAGCACAAGGCACGGGAACAGGGAGAGGTGAAGAATTGCGCCAGCGGGTCAATCTACCACACTTTACTATCCCACGGAAAGACGACACCGAAAAAACAACACCATCAGGCGCTGAGTGGTGAAGGCGACTGCAGACCTTGCTGTAAAATGGAACGGGGTCTCAGGGAAGCCATTTACCTGTACGTGGCAATATGGCAAAACAACGGCCAGGGGGCACCTGGGATTGAACCGGGGACATCTGGACCTGCAGCCAAGGGCTCTAGCCTTGAGCCACGCCCCCTGGCCTGCTGGGGGCCCCTCCTGACATTATTTCACCTGTGTTGCCATGCCCCAGATTCCATAGTGGACTCTAAGTTCTAGTCCTACTTGGGCCACCTCTGGAACTGGCAGAGCCACCACACACTGACTGGAGACCACTCACTGGCCATGAGTTCGCCTCGTCATTCCTCAGAGGCCCCTCACTTGTCTACCAGGCACTCTCCTGTGTAGCCATAGCCTGAACTGGGCTGTTAGAGCTGGAAGCCGGGCGCCCTGATCCTTGCTCCCCTCCTCCCTCAGCTCCACCTACACTGTCTCCTCCTCCTCCCCAGCCTCCTCCCTCCTGGCTTTCCTCCTGGCTTCACATCTCACACTGTCTCTCCCCTCTCTCCCTGGCTTAGTCCCTCCCCGAGGCCGTCACCTAGGGGCTTGGCTGAACACAGGGCAGCAACCTCGGAATCCTTGGGGCAGCACAACCGAGGGTGCTAGGACCAGGCATATAGGCTGCTTGGGGGCCCGCAGCCTGGGACCAAGGAGCCCTGGTGTGTGGTCAGAGATGTCTCTCCCTCTGCCCCACGGTGCGAGAGCCCAGGCACTGCCTGTGCCCGCTTCCCTGGCCGACCTTCATCCCATAGTGAGGACACGCAGCGGGCCTTCCTAAAAGGCCACAAGCCCTAAGACGCTAAGGACTAGAGAAAGGACAGTGACCTGAGGGGTACGACGTGCTACATGGCATCGGAGTCTGTGAGATTCACATTCGGGAGACCACAGACGCCCCTGAGCTTGGCAGGGAGGATGCCAGCAAAGGGGGATTCCTTCCTCACTCCTGTGCTGTGTTCTTATCGCCTTGCTTTCTTACCAGCTATCATGTTTCCCTTTAAACACACAGTCCAAATTCAAAATAAGTATTTAGTCCAATGAGACCAAATCGCCCCACCCCCCCACCCCCCAGGTGATGTTTCCAGCATAACCTACATGCTACCATGTTGCTGGCAGCCTGTGAAGTACCGTCTTTCTGTTACAGGATGCAATCGGAAAGTCGGGCATTCTTCCCTGGCAGCAGGTGGGTTCCCTTGGTGACGTGAGGTCCTCTGGGTGGGGGCGGTTCCTAGCGTCCAAGCCTGAAGTTTTGGCCCTTGTTCCCGAGTCCATTGAAAAGCCTGGGTGGGTGGGAAGGTCCCGCACTGATCAGTGTCCTACTTCTCGAGCATGAGACATGAGCATCTGCTTAATTTAACTGACATTGTAATCAGCAACGCTCAGGATCAAACTCTACTTTTGGTTTGAGGATTTCCCAGTTATCAGTGGCAAGAGAGAAGTCTCTCGATACCGGGTCTTGGCTAGCGGAGAGGGTTTACAGATTTGTGCTTCATTTTCCGTCTTTGAGGTCCAGCGCCAGCAGAATCAGCCGCTCTGCAGTGCCTCGTGCTGTTCTGTGGGAACTGAGGACACCAAGGCCTGGCCCTCACTAGGCGCTTCATTCCAGGTGATCCGGGCAAAATTGAAGTCTCCTGCTTTGTCACTGTGTGCCAACGACGGCCAGGTTCAAACTCCCGAATAACTACCAAGATGGTCCTAACAAAACCAGACACTCAGTGCCATATGCCCCTCACGGCCTGCACCCCACCCCCAGTACCAGTTTACACACTGTCTGCATTCTGTCAAAAACAGAAACCGATGATGGCTCATTGAGACAAATAAGGAAACTATTGGCAGGATGGGAAAAGTCTCACCACACCAAACGTAGCTAGAGATCTGCGCTAGGAAATGGGCAGGACTAAAGGGCAGCCGCGCAGGCAGAATCGTTGACCTCAAAAGGCATCCTGCTTTATGGGGCTGATGATGCCCCACTGGACACTGCCTGCAGCCAGCGGCCCCACTGCCAATGCCAGCCCCCTGGCTCCGCTGGAGGAAATTCCCAACTCCTCCTGCTTCTGGGTAAATCATTCATGTTCCAGGTCTCAATCAGCTACAGGTGACTGGCTAAGCCTGAGCTACGGCCGGGGCTCAGGGACGGCAGCACCTGGTATTCCCGGCTTTCATAGTATTGTGAGGTCCCGGCTTCCACCAGTCATACACGGCTGTGGATCCCCAAAGTACAAAGGAATTTCAAGCGTTGGGGCTGTAAGAAGATCGTTACAAACACCCACCACAAGTAGCCCGAGTGAGGCTGCATCACTGCCACAATCACGAATGGTGGGAAGCGTTGGTGCTGCCAGAGCCCGGGAGGCTTTCTGGCACAGGCCCCACCTGCCTCTTCCTCTGCCCTCTTGCAGGAAGATGCCGTTAGCTGCAACGGCGACACCGGCTCTGAGTAAAATCACAGCCTGGTCCATACACTGGAATTTTATCCAGCAACAAAAATAAATGAGCTCTCAAGCCACAAAAAGACACGCAGGAACCTTAAATGCCTATTACTAAGAGAAAGAAGCCAAGCTGAACAGGCTACACCGCATGCGATTCCACCGCTATGGCATTCTGGAAAAGGGAGATCGGTGGACAGTAAGAAGATCAGTGGGTGCCAGGGACTCGGAGGGAGGGAGGGAGGGAGGGAGGGAGTGAGGAGCGAATAGGCATAGCCGGGGAGTTTTAGGGCAGTGAAACTATTCCAAATGAACTGTAATTGTGGCTACAGAACATTCTGTAGTTGTCACAACCCATAAAACTGTACAGCACAAGCTTGAACCTTAGGGTAAACAATGGACTTCAGTGGATAAGAACATATCAATATTCGTTCACCACTTTTTTCGGGGTTTTTCCCTCTTCTTTTTTAAAGATTGGCGCCTGAGCTAACAACTGCTGCCAATTTTCTTCTGTTTTTTTTTTTTTTTTTTCCTGCTTGTTTCTCCCCAAATCCCCCCAGTACACAGTTGTATATTTTAGTTGTAGGTCCTTCTAGTTGTGGCACGTGGGACGCCGCCTCAACATGGCCTGATGAGTGGTGCCACGTCCATGCCCAGGATCCGAACCCTGGGCCGCCAAAGTGGAGCGCACGAACTTAATCACTTGGCGACGGAGCCGGCCCCCTCATTCACCGGTTTTACAAATGTCCCATACTAACACAAGATGTTAAAACAGGGGAAACCGCAGGGGAGAGGGGCGTTGAGGTGAGGATGCAGGAGAACTCTGGACTTTCTGCTCAAATTTTCTGTAAACCTAAGGGTGCTCTAACAAATAGAGTCTATGAAGATTTCTATAGACAGCAGGTAGGGGCTCCCCAGGTTATGAGTCAGAGACAACGGGCTCCATGTTCCAATGCTCTACCTATGGGCCATTGTTGGCGTCTACAAGGCACCTTTCCAGCCAGTAGTAACATCCAGACTCTAACACAGCAAGTCACCGACCTTCCCGTGCTGTTCCGTGCAACCTGGGGTCTGCTCCACGGCAGAGGGGACACCTCTCCCACCAGGTCCCCTTCCCACCCTCCCCCTCCTTGCCCACCAGGCAGCTTCTCAGGCCCCTGCAGAGGGCACCAGCTTTGCTAGTCGTACATGTTCGTTGAAAGGTCCGTTAGAGTCATCCGGGACAGTCCTCCCCAAACGCGTCTGTAGAGCAGGTAGTTTCTGGCTCGGAGAAGGAGCAAGAAGAGGAGAGGTGTGTGTTGTTAAAATGAGAGCATCCAGTCGGCTTCTCAGAGTCTCTGGGGGGAGACCAGCAAACGCACACAGGAGCAGCACCCAGGGGGTTCAGATGCCTGAGACGTGTCCCTGCCGCTGACTCTGTCTGCTGCCCCAGCCTCCTGCCTACTCACTCACTAGAAATGGGAAACAGTAAATGGGACAGCTGACCAAAAACACACAAGCATCAAGAGGTCAAGACAAAACCTCTGATTCTGGATGAGGATGTTTTCCCGTAAACCAGGTCTGGAGTCCGAACATGACCTTTTCCACCTTTTCTCCCTTCTTCTTTCCTGTCCTTTTTCTGTTGTCAGCTGAGCCTCTCCAGAGGAAATTAGCCAAATTTAGAAAGCCACCTGACATGCTAATGACTCGCTGCTGGTGGGTGAACGGGGTCTAAGGTGACCACTTCCGTAGATCCAAGATGGAAGGAAAACCAGCAGGGGGCGCTCAGATTTGAGCCGGGGACCTCTTGATCGGCAGTCCAATGCTCTACCCATGAGCTACACCCCCTCACCTGGGGAAAATTCCTTCCTAGCGTATTTCACCTGTGGAACCACACCCAGGGATTCCAGGAATCCTTTTAGGAATTTCTATTTGTTCCTAATCAGCCTGTGGAGAGTGGCAAGCAACCACAAATGGACTAGAGACCACTTTTCTGGCCACGAGTTCACCTTTCCACTCCCCAGAGACCTCTCACTGGTCCAACAGGCACCTTTCCACTCTGTAGCCACAACCTGAATTCCGTCAATAAACTCCACCTCTTCCTTTCCCCTCACTCAGTACCCGGTGGGCAGTGCAGGGGGCACTGGCGACGAGGTGTAAGAATCGTGGCTGCATAGACAGCCGTTTCCTCATCAATGCTTGGAAACAAATCATCCCCAAATTAAGATGGATACAGAATAAGCACTGATTCTCAGGGTCATAGGTCAGCAGCATGGATGCCAATCAGCTGATCTAGGGTGGCCTTGACCTGGTGGCCCCATTTCACTCCATGGGACCCTCTGTGCTCGGTTTCTCGCTGTGAGTTCAGCTCAGATCTGCACCATGTCTGTTCATTCTGGGGTCCGGGTTGGAGGAGTGGCAGCAAGCAGGGGAACCTTTC